CTGTAGGCTACGTTTCGTGGTCGTAGGCCATTTTTCCCGTTTGGAGCCCAATTTTCAGTTTTCGGAGCCGTCGGCAGTGTGCCTCGGTTTAGGACCGCTTAACTACTTCCATTTGCTCCGGTTTTTGGCACACACCTTGTTTCCTCTCTTTTGAGGGACACTGTGGCCTGGGAGACCACCTTCGTCATCATACACCACTTCCGGTGCCTAACAGCTTGTTTTCGGGGCCCCGGCCTGCGCGTTTTGGCCCTCGAACCTTCGTTTTGCATCCGTCTTGGTCCATTTTTGGTAGGGACCCTATTTTCATTGCTAGGGAGGTGGTAGTATGGTGGGAGGCCACCTTTTTTCCTTGGAAACCAGTTTTCTTTTTTTCTCTCTCCAAAAGCCCATTTTTTTGACAGAAAGCTGGTTTTTCTCACTTTTGAGCCACAATTTCTGGTTTTTCATACGACCATTGTGTTGTGCTCATCTGGCAGGCCACCAATATGGGTAGGCCGACCAGTAATTCTTCTTGACCCTTTTGAACCTTGCTAAAAAGCTGGTTTTCCTCTTTCTTGGGTCACTTTTTCTAGTTTTCCACCATACAGCTGTGTTGCACTCATCTAGGAGGCCACCAATCTGGGGTGGCCGACCAGCATTTCACCTTGAACCTTTTGACCCTTGGTCGGCCAACCAGGGGGAGTGGCCGGCCGGCCACCTTAGCTGGTCGGCCAGCTTTCTACTTTTTGCTCTTCTCAAGTGCAATACAACTGTGCCAGCTGTGAAGCATTTGACCCACTGTCCGAGACTTTGACCATCTTTTTGATCCTTTTTAGTTGGTTTTGACCCCCTTGCTTAGCTTCTTGAAGAAGCTTGACTCTTTTGTCAAGCTTCTTGAGGAAGCTTGACCCTTTTGGTCTAAGCTTCTCAGAAGTTTGACGCTTTTGGTTAAAGCTTTTTGAGAAGCTTTGAAAACCCCTCTTTAAGGCTCTCCAAGAAGCCTTGGGCTCTTTCTTCCTCTATAAAACACACTCTCCCTCCTTTGGCAAGGGTTAGAAAGTTTAGCCAAGGCATATACAACTCCACCCTCCATAGCCTTCTTCTTAAAAGCTTCAAACCTAATATTCTTGCAACCATTTTGCCTACAACTCATATGCCTACCACTCCACATCCATCAAGCATCTTGGAGCTGATTTTCAGAGTTGAAGAACTCCTTCCTTGGTCCAGAAGCTGCTGGGTCATTGTCTACAAGGGTGAGTCTCTATTTCCCCCCATTGTTGCTTATTTTGCTCCATTGATGCCCTTATTTTGCAAGCATTTCTGGACTTTGTCCAAATAAAGTGTTTTCTTTGAGGCTCCTCTTTGGGGTTTGATTAAGGACACTTTTCTGTTTGAGGCCATCTACCCTTGTATGCTCTTATCCTGTCTTTGTAGGCTTATTTTGGCATCATCATCTTAGCTCTACTTGTTGAGCATTTTTCGAGATTCATAACTAAGAAAAAGTATTGTTTTGACTCCTCTTTAAGTTTTATTGAGGTAACTTTTTCTGTTTGGAGTCATTTCTTCCTTGCATGCTTCATTTCCTCTGTTTTGAGTTATGCATTTGAGCATTTGCATTGGCCTTGTTTTGGCCTCTTAGCCACTGAATCCAGTGGATTTCTCAGTGGGCTTGAATGTGTCTTTGAGCTCCAAAATCATAGAGGGGTGACCCTCTCACCCCTCATTCTCTTTACTAGCTTTGTTGGCCTTCCAAAGGGGCTCCATCTTGCATGTTGTGAAGTCACATTCCTGGACTTATTTTGTGAGTTTTATGGTCTGCATTAGCTCTGTCCGGAGCTCATTTTGCCATATTTTATGTCTATGATGCATGTGTAGAGCAATCCTATTCAAGGCTTTTCAAAGGGACCTTTCATTGCATGCTACCTAGACCAATTCCAGGGCCTATTTGGTGAGTTTTAAGGTTGTCATAACTCATTTCTAGAGGTGATTTTGACCTCTTAGGTGTCCATCATATAGGTGTAGAGTAACCCCTTGCATGGCCTTCCAAAGGAGCTCATCATTTTTGCATGCATTGACTGAGTTTCAGTGGTTATTTGGACATATTTTGGCATGGCATACATCTATTTTTAGCTGGTTTAATGAGCTTTCATATGCTTCATATAGTTGTAGAACAACTCATGGTTCACTGGCTTTCTTTGCATACTTTGTGGCCCTCGATTTTAGCACTTTTTGGCCATGCCTTAAACTGATAATGTGCTTATTTTGGACTGCCCTAGCTCTGTTTTTGGGTCTCATGTTTGAATGATGTTTTTTTTGCATGCTTGTAGTTCAATACCCATGCTTAACTTTGAGATTTGAGGTCCATTGCATACATGTGCTGAGGTGTGTTCATGTTTTGAGGCCATTTTACATCACATTTCAGAGCCTATATGAATGCCATATTGCTATGTTTTCATCTCTTTAAGTGTGCTTGAGAGTCGGGCTTGAATGCCTTGTTTACCGACCATTGAATGAGCTTCATTTTCATGCTTGTTGAGCCATCATTTTAGGCCAATTTTTCACCATTTCAGACCTGCCTAGGGTTTATTTGGGGTTGGTTTTGCCTTGGGTGCATTGTTTTGGGTACCTCTAGTGTAACGCACTTCACTAGTTTCGGTACCCGAGCCCCCTAGCTTGCATCGTGTGACATATTTGCATGTTTCAGGACCATATTTCATGCTGTTTTAGAGCTGTAATTTATGCTATTCCATGTCATGTTTCATTCTTGCCATGCTTTGGTAGAGTGGTATTCCATGCCTTAGGTTCGGTCTTTGGTATTTGTGCATGCGTGCACCCATTTCGGTTGTCTCATTTTCATCTAATGGCCACTGATGTGAGTGTGGCTGAGGTCCACTCATTTTGGTATAAGTCCATCGTGCGTTGTGTATGCCATTTCGGTCCATAGTATTGCGTATGGTAGGTTGTATGTTAGAGCATTGTGTATGCCATGTTACATCGAGCATCGTGTATACCATTTCATAGCATTGCGTATGTTAGGTTGTATGTTAGTCGCATTGTGTATGCCATCTCATTTGCATTGTGTTTGGGATAGGAGTTAGCCCAAGCACAGGAAACGAGGGACGTTTCGTACTCCGAGTGACGGAACGTGTCTCAATTCCCGGTCGCTGGCACTCCGGATTACCCATGATGGAGTTTAGGTCTTGTTGTGTTTTCATGTGCATTCATTTCACATCGAGTCGTACAATTCGACTCCTCGGCCATCATGCATTGAGATGCGCGATTGGTGGCACGAGGATCGAGGACTACACTCCCTGAAGAGTAGTCATGCGTACATAAGTGAAAATATTTTGCCATGCCCCTTTCTTGCTCTCTGTTGCAGCAAATCAGAAATCAATAGCCTTCTGGAGCTTCGCACAGCATTCCGGGATTAAGTGTAAATAGAGGCGAATCGGGACATCGCAATGGATTTCCGCGCCAAGCAACTTAAGCATGCATCTTTCATCATTCAGAACAGAGCCGAGGCGGTCCATAGCTTGCATGCTAATTTACTTGCTTTCCTAGTTAAACTGTTAATTAATTAGGGTTTTGTACTTATTCGGACTGTATTACTTTCGGACTGTATATTATTTATTCGGACCCTCCGAGCGAGGGCAATATTGTAATAAGTGTGCGTGCGTGTGATGTATGTCTTCTAACCCCACGTCTTTCTCCCTTTTATTTACCAGCTTATGATGGTTAGTTTAGGGCATGTTTTAATTAGCATACTTATGCTTGCATGTTTGCATTCATTTATCTGTATTGCATGTACCGGGCTCGGCGCATCATACTAATTACATTTGTATTTCAATTTCAAATTGAATACGTGTTAGCTGTAGCATCATCATATGCCATGTTTAGAATAGCCGAGACTATTGTAGTTGCATTTTTGCATGTGTTGCATTAGGCATTTCTGTATAGTTAGGATCATGCATGGATTTCTAACATAGCTTCTGTTTTGACTTGGAGTACTCGGTAAGTGTTTATGCTTTAGCATCCTTGCATGTGTGTGAGTGACTGCCATGATAGCATGCTTACCATGAGGCTAATTGCTTATGTGATATAACTGCCTGAATGCTTGTGGGTGAAGGTTGGGTTATTTGGATTGGAACAATTCATTAAATGTGAGTTTTAAGCCTACTTGAGAGTGGCAAAATCATTTTTTTTAAGCCCACCTGAGGGTGGCAAATCCACGTCTTAGCTTACTTACGAGTAGCACTATCAAACCATTTTCAAATAAACAAACATGAGATGTTTTGTTCCAATTCAGGCGATCCAGTCTATACTTGTATGCTGTGCGCATCACATAGTAAATCTAGGCTAATAACCGGAATAAGAACGCATAATGTTTTCAAAACTAGATCTCATGGTTAGTAGAGGCCGATCTTTAATCGGGGGTGCTCACGAAGTGACCTTCCCCAATCGTACCCAAGTTCCCGAGCCGATGCAACTTTGGTGATGATGGACACGTGGCCTTAGGCAACGAGTCAGGGTTTCCTAAATTTTCCAAAAGTATGTAAGTGCACATATAGTTGGTTGTTGTTTATACAAAAAGGAAAAAAAAACACAAAAAATCAACTCATCAGAAAATCAATTTGTTTATTGATGATGTTGGTGGAATGGAGGAAGAAACCAGTTGTTGTTTTAAGTAGTAATGAATTACTTGCTTATAAAAAATAAAAAATAAAAGTAATGGATGCTAGAGTTTATTTATTTTTATATATATATATATATATATTTTTTAAGAATAATTAGAGGGAGACCAAAGTTAAAGACTGGTGAAGGGGATCAAAATATAACCTTAACTCTATTTATTTCATGGTTTAATACCATGAATTGTACGGCATATATATGTATGTACATATGTGTTATGTCTTCTGTCTACAGCTTAATCTGATTGCATGTTTGTACTCAAAAATATTACATGATGTGAAGATTATTTTTGTGGTTAATGTAAATTGTCTCCTACATATGTGTTTTTCCCTTAATTGATTGGTTTTTCCTTTTCAGGCTGATGTTTGTCATGCCTATCAACTCCTGAAGAAAGGTGGGCTTAAAGATGAGAACATTGTGGTTTTCATGTATGATGACATTGCTTTCAATGAAGAAAACCCCAGGCCTGGAGTCATCATTAACAGCCCACATGGTAGTGATGTATACAGTGGAGTGCCAAAGGTTTGTATCTTTTCATACCTTACCCCACTTGTGAAATCATGAAATTTTGCTTCTTTCTCGCTCATTTGGTAGATTTTCATGTGACCAGGATTATATTGGTGACGATGTTACTGTCAACAACTTTTTTGCCGTTATTCTTGGAAACAAAACTGCACTTACAGGGGGCAGTGGAAAGGTTGTGGATAGTGGTCCAAATGACCATATTTTCATATATTACACGGATCATGGGGGTCCTGGGGTGCTTGGTTAGTAGCACTCTCTCTTGCTGTTTCATAAATGCTTTTCGATCTGCATTTCGCTGGCAGCTAGCTTAAATTGATTATTGGTCTATATCTATATTTGAGCAACTAAGGAACCACAAGATTTTCAAATATCTTGGCCCCTCATCAATTCAGAAAATTGCAAACTGGATACTTTTGGAATTTTCCAGTCTAGAAATTTCCCATTTTCAATCTCTTTTGGTGCCTATCTGTTATACTTATCTGGCAAAGTGGGGGAAAAAGAGAAAATAAAATTTCCTTTTTTCACCGTGTTATTGGTAGGCAAGGAATTTAAGATTTTAATATATACACCTAGGCTCTAATTTTGATGATAAATATTAATTTTGTTAAAGATCCCTTGCATTTTTCTTGACAGTAAAAGTAAGTTATTTGGAAGTACACAGTAAGTTTGATCATGATCACCGCCAGTCAGTGGCAGAGCCAGGATTTTAATTCATGGGGGCACCATTAAGTCTTAGTGATGACAAATACAAAATTTAACCAAATCCAATTTTCATTTAGTGATAGAATGACCAAAGATCAACGTGATGTCAAAACTATGTGCCTTAGATATGTTTTAATTAACCGAAGCTTTTTTTATTTACTATTTTAGTTACTAGGGTTGGTTTGGGGTGTCCTAAAAAAGTGCACTTTTTGTCTTTTTACGAAAAGATGTGCAAAAAAGTAGAGAGGTGATGTGATGAAAAAAAGATAAAAAGATAAAAAGATGGATTATATAGTAGATGCCAAACCAAGCCTAAATGTGTGTTTACGATTGATTTTTAAATTTTTTTTTTGTGCCTTTTTTTACTATTTTTTTAATTAAAAAAATTATTAAAATTTATACTTTTAAGTTCTGCGACTAATATATATAAGTCCACTAACACCCCCCAAAAAAGGTCTTTGATGAAGTTTTTTTGAATTTTTTAAAATTAGTTTTTACTTTTTAGATCTTCCTACACTAGACGGACTAAAGACAAAATTTAATCACAATTAGAAAAAAAAAAAAAAATTACTAAAAACAAAAGTTCAAAAAAACAAGTGTTTAGTTTGAGTTTTTTAGATTAAGTTTTTTGACAATTGAGTTTTTTGATTTTCGTGTTTTTTTTGTTTTTAGTAAATATTTTCAAAATTTTAAACATTTTTTTTTACTTTTTTAGATACACCATACTTAGATGTATCTAAAAAGTAAAAAATTTATGAAAAAATATTTTAAAAAATTAATAAATACATAAAAATACAAAAAAAGTATTGAATTCTCATTTTTTTTTATTTTTGATATTTAGTGAATTTTTAAAAGGTTTTTTTCACAAAGTTTTTACTTTTTAGGTATATTTATTTTAGGTATGTCTAAAAATTAATTTTTTTTTTTGCTTAAAATATTAAAAAAATTCAGTAAAAATAAAAAAATACAGAAAACAAGAAAGTAGAATTTTCTGAAAAGTATTTTTGAAAAACTCTAACCAAGCAAATACTTTTTTTAATTGGATTCCAAACTCACCCTAAATTTTTATTACAAGTTTGACGCTTTGTGTAAAGAAAAATGAACAATTGTGACAACAAAGGTCATATAGAAGGCAATCAAGTTGATTAAATCTGTTTACCTAATCACAATTTTATTTTTTATTTTTTTTTATTTTTGTATTTTTTGAAAGAGAGTTTATTTCACAAAGAAACTTGTGCTCTGTTCTTTCAACTGAAAATATCTTTCAGAGAAAATGACTTTTTTTTTTGTTTTTTTTTTTGTTACCATCTTAAAAATAATAGTGATATTACAAATTGAGAAATTTTATCCTGAATTTTATCCAAATGCATTAATTTATAACTCGAATTCATTTGTATTTGAATCTTATATTACACCAATTCAATCTCTACTTCATAAACACACTATATAGAAAAGAAAAGGCTACGAACCCTGCTTATTTACCTCGAATTTACCCCGAATGAGAGTTTTGTGGCTGAAAATGAATTTGTGTAGTGTAGGGTCCATGTGTAGAATAAATTTAAACCATAGATGATAATTCTAGCTAATTGATGGATACTTAAATCTAGTTTGTAGTATTACTACCTAGAAAAATTTGGATAGATTCTTCTGGTATTGTAGACTCAGGGCTGGCCTTGAGGCCACTAAAACTTGTGTTTTAGGCCCCAAAATTTGGCCCAAAAAAAAAGGTCTCCAAATTCATTAGTAGTATATTCAAAATTTAAATAGGCCAAATTTATTTTTAATGATTTAGGAACAGTCTAAAGGATTCTAAAAAATTCTATTGGGCCCAATTAAAAAAATATATATAATCACAAATATGATTAGGCTCAATTGAAAAAAATGAACTAAAACATATACAAGTATTGTTGGCTCAAATAATGGAATAAATAATTTTGTCCTAATTTTTCTCTCATAAACTATTAAATTTTAATGGAATAAATAATTTTACCCTATGTTTTTATCATATTTTAATTGAATAAAGTTTCCCTAATTTTTTTGCCTTGATTTTGTTTCATTAAATTGTGTTCCACAATTTCTTTGCTATAAGATATTAGATAATGAGTGAATTGTGTGTTTTGTTTGAAAAATTGATTATATAGCCGTGTTTCCTTTTCATTTATGTTTGCTTCACATGCTGGTGAAAAAAAATTATTATCCCACTCTTTAATTTAATACAATATGAAATCATTTATGTTTGCTTCACAACGTTATAACATTTCATTAATTAGATTCATTGATTAAATTAGTTTGTTTTGTTAATTTAAACTATACCAACTGGTAACTTTTGTTTTTTTTTTGGATACTCTGAAATAAATATATTTTATATTTATTTTGATATCAATCACCGGCAGCGGTGCCAAACATGTTGATTTTTTATTTTTATTTTTATGAACATAGGCCCTGTTTTTTGATTTTGTCTTAGACCCCCAAAAAACTCAGACCGGCTCTGAGTAGACTTCTACCAAAAATAATATGCAAACACACTACACAGAAAAATTTGGATAAATTTTTCTAGGACAGTAGACTTGTAGATTTATAGTAAAAATAATACGCTAATAGTTTGTAGTATAGATGGTTTTTGTGGATGTGTGGTGCTGGGTAACATGTATTGGGAATAAACTCCGCTTAAGTAATGAAAGCAAAAGTAAAATAATTAGAAAACAATAAAAATATAGAATTTAAGTGATTCGTAAAATACTTATGTTTACTGGTGAGAGCGAAATACTTCACTAACAATAAAAAAAATTACAATAATAAAACAAATAAACTCTCTAATATATTTTTTTTCCCACTAGCTATTAGTATTCTCATCTTCACACCTACAAATTAATACACACTTACCACTAAAATTATCCTTTTGATACACCCGTACCAACCCACAAAGGCTCGTTGTTACTCTGGCCAAGAGTAGAGGGAACATATGAATTTCATCCCCGCTGCTTGATTGCAAGATAAGGAGGAAGAGATTGGAGTGTTGTTTTTGGTATGGCTAGGGATGAGAATTGTGTTGTGTTGATCATATTTGTTTCGTATTATTTGGGATTTGTGTTAGAATATTTACAACATTAGCTCAACTTATTTATTTTTTCGTATTATCTTGTCATGTAATTTTAAATTCATATTGAGTTAGTTAATTTGTCATGTCAAAAAATATATATTTTATTTGAAATTAGTTTGCGTAAACATTAAAAAAAATTCTTCATTAATTAAGTTTTATAAAACGAATTTGTACTAGATTGCTTACTTCTAATTTCATTTATCCAACTTTAAAATTAAAAATTATTTATTTTATTTAATTTTTTTGTTTACAATTGACTCTAAAATAGTAAATAAAAGGAACATATTATTTGAAATAAGGGGGAAAAAAATGCTATGTTTACCTTAAATTTGTATTTTTCATATTTATTACTCAATTGAATGCCGTTACATAAGGCATTTGACCATATCATGACATCCTTTTGTAAAAATAGTATTAAATTATGTAACTAATCTTTCACTAAACGGTTATCTGTGTCAATTTCGTACTATGCCTGCTTGGCACTAACTTGTTTATTTATGGTGGTATCCTATCGTGTCATAGTTGGGTTCCTATAAAAAAAAAATAGATAGTGTGTAAGAAACTCTCACCCTAAGAGCATATCTAATGGGCTTTAGAGTCAATAAAAAATCGGAAATGAAAGTTACAAGACATTTTGTCTTGTTTAGAAATTGGCTAATTATTTAGCTTTTTATGAAAAGATATATAAAAAAGTAAAGAGAGATATAACAAATTATAGTGACATTTAAATTTTTTGGCTAAAATATTAACTTCCCAAACGAAAGTTTTGGATTCAAGTGAAGAGGGATGGGGAAATTGTGAATGAAATATAATTTTTTTAGTACGTTTTATATACATGGATGATTCTTGTTTGAATTTGCTAAACTAATGGGTCATGGTTTTCTTCATTGCAGCATCTCAGCAACAATCAAAAAAAGAAAAACAGCAACAATCAAAATCCCCAAGGGTTGGCCTAGTGGTGGAGGCTTGAGACTTAAGAGTTTGCTCCTCTCTAGGTCTCAGGTTTAAAGGTGGCGACTCTGTATCTGGCAAAGCAGTCCATGTTTGGCACTTCTTTCAAAAAATCTGTTTTAAAAAACGATTTGCCGGATTTGGACTCTTTGATGATTTCATCGGTCTTGCATTGCACTCTGCGAGATTAGATACAGGACCGTGACATTGAGTCCTGAACGTAGTGAGCCCATATGAACAGAACGGGGGATTTCCTCCCGGGGCGTTCGGGGATGTTTACAGTAATCCACTAAGAAGACAAAAAAAATTACACAAATGTATCCTTAATTATCTAGCAAATCCACGCCCGAATTGAACCAAACCCAATGTGCCTTTTCTACCACCGTCTTCACCTTGGAGTTGTCTTGCTCAAACATTCAATTCACAACGCTGATGTCGAATACAAGACAATGAGCTACTTTAGAATACACCAAAGCTTCAAGCCTAAATTTCTTAGAATCCACCAAAGAACAACTCA